GGGGGGGGAAGCAGGCTCCCCGATGAGCAGAGAGCCTGATGCGGGGTTCAATCTCAGGATCCTGGGATCATGACCTGAGCCAATGGCAGAGGCTTTAACCCACTGAGCCACCCAGGTACCCCCCACCTTTTTCTTTTTTCTTTCAGATTTTCATTTATATGACACAGAGGGGGAGAGGGAGAGAGGGAGAGAGCACACAAGCATGAGGAACAGCAGGCAGAGCGAGAAGAAGGCTCCCCGCTGAGCAAGGAGCCCAATGTGGGACTCCATCCCAGGACCCCTGGATCATGACCTGAGCTGAAGGCAGACGCTTAACCGACTGAGCCACGCAGGTGTCCCACTTTGTTTTTTTTTAAGATTTTATTTATTTGTGTGTGTGAGAGAGAGAGCAAGTGTGGGTGAGTGTACAAGTGGGGAGGAGGGGCAGAGGGAGAAGTAGACTCCCCACTGATCAGGGAACCTGATGCAGAACTTAATCCCAGGACCCTGGGATCATGACCTGAGCAGAAGGCAGACACTTATCCAACTGAGCCACTGAGGGGTCCCCAGTTCAATGAGTTTTGACAGATGTGTACACTCATGAAACCGCCATCACCATACAGAACTTTTCTATCCCCCGCCCGTTGGTTTCCTTAGTAGGCAACTGCTAGTCAACTTTGTCCCACTGTATATTAGTTTGTTCCTAGAGTTTTGTCTAGTTTCATTTGTGTCTGGCTTCTTTCACTTAGCATAATCCATTTATGATTCCCCCATGTAGCTGCATGTATCAGTAATTCTTTTTATTACCAAGTTGTATATCACTTTTCATTTATTCATTCACCAGATGATGGTGATTTGGGTTGTTTCCCGTTTTTGGCTGTTATGACTAAAGCTCTGTGAAAGTCCATCTACATGTCTGTGTGGATATGTTTTCATTTTTTTTGGATAAATTACTAGGAATGGAATGTCTGAGTAATGTGGTAGGTGTATGTTCAACTTTTTAAGAAACTTTCAGTATTGCAAAGAAGTTGTGATGTTTTATGTTTCCACCAGTTAAGAGGTCTGATTGCTCCAAATCCTTACAACTCTTGGTATTCTTTTTTTTTTTTTAAGATTTTATTTATTTATTTGACAGACAGAGATCAGAAGTAGGCAGAGAGGCAAGCACAGAGAGAGGGGGAAGCAGGCTCCCCGCCAAGCAGAGAGCCCAATGCAGGGCTCGATCCCAGGACCCTGGGACCATGACCCAAGCCAAAGGCTGAGGTCCCAAACCACTGAGCCACCCAGGCACCCCAACTCTTGGTATTCTTAATATAGATTTTAGTCATTCTAATAGGTGTACAATTGTGTCTTGTGGTTTTAATTTGCATTTCTGCGATGACTAATGATGTCCCTGTGCTTATTGGCTGATGAAGTTCTAGAACCTAAGTGAGGTTCGGTGGGGTGACGTCTAGAGCTGATGACCAAGAAAGAATTCTTGAGACATCTTTGGTGCAAAATGGTGGTTTATTAAAGCATGGGGACAGGATCTGTCGGCAGAAAGAGCTGCTGCCCTGCTATCCTGAGGAGTGGCTGATTATATACACAGGAGTTGGGTAGGTGACGACAAAGGGGATGATGTTAGTCTCTAAGGAATTTTGGAAGCAAGGTCTCCAGGACCTTGAGGGGCTAGCTATTGTTGGGAGAAAGGTTATTTATTACTAGTAAAAAATCTTCTTGTGAGACCCTTTAGATGTATATTAGTGGGTCATATGCTTGGGAATGATTGCTGACACTATCTTGGAGGTTTAGAGATAAAGTTTCACACTTCTCCTATCAAGTGTCCTTGTTAGTGAGATTTGGGTTTAAAAGAAATTTAACTTTATTTACATTTCCTTCTACTTCAGCCTCCTTCAGTTTTATGGAGGGGAGGGTGATGTTAGGGCTTGAGGAACTGAGTTATTTGCCTCTGGAAATTGTGCTATTGTTAAGATAGCTTCTTTGTTGTAAATCTCTAGGACATTTGTAAACCAAGGGAGACTCCTGTCTTGCAGGATTGTGATCTCTGCAAGTTAACTATTTGTTTTTCTTTTAGGGCAGCCACGGGTGCCTGAGGAATGTCACACATATTACCGAGGGGAGCGGGTGGAGAGGGGGTGCAAAGTGCCAGCTTTTGCTTTGTCCTCAGCCAGCCTTCTGCTCCCTCATCATTGGCCATTAGTATATCTTTTTTAAAAAAGATTTTATTTGACAGAGAGAAAGATCACAAGTAGGCAGAGAGGCAGGCAGGGGGGGGGGAAGCAGGCTCCCCGCTGAGCAGAGAGCCCCATGTGGGGCTTGATTCTAGGACCCTGAGATCATGACCCCAGTCAAAGGCAGAGGCTTAACCCACTGAGCCACCCAGACACCCCATTTGTATATCTTCTTTTGTTAAGAGTTTGCTCAAATTTATTGCCTGATTCTTAGTAGGGTTGTCTTTTTATAATTGAATTGTAAGTTGTCCTTTTATATAGGTATTTGAATATTTTGTGGCTTCTTTAATTTTCTTAACTGTGACTTCTGAAGAACAAAATTTTAATTTTGAAAAAATCCAATTTACTAGTATTTGTTTTATGGTTCATGCTGTCTGTATTCTAAAAAATCCTTACCCCTCCTGTTGGGTCCATGGTCAAAGGAGCGAGACTGATACAAAGCGAAGGTCAAGCAAAGTTTTATTTCGCGCCAAGTAGCGAGAATCAAATGGACTGGCCAGGGCCGTCTCTTGCAAAAAGGTGACCCCTTCCAGTCTCACAGACTAACTTTTATAGAGTAAAGGCCATGTGGTTGAGCCTGGCCACACACGGTGACCAACTGAATTACAACTCACCCTATAGTAGTTATCTGAACTAGCCTATCACTCTGGTCAGAATTGGTGCCCAAAAGGCAGGGCCCACATTCTTGGGTGGTTAGGGACGTGCTTTCCTGATTGGATGTCTCCACCTGGCTTGGCTCATCTTTGTATTCTGGGCTCTGTTACCTCCCCCTGACCTGACAAATCCTAGTATATGGGCTCTGTTATCTGGGGCTGGTCAGTCATATTTTACTGGTTTCCCAGACTTGTTTCTAAGTAAGTTCCTCTGGGGGGCAGGGTCAATCTAAGTTTACTGCATAAACAACAAAATGGCTCACTCTGGCTAAGTAGGCCCTTACAATCCCAAGGTGGCAAATTTTTCTCCTGTGTTTTCTCCTAGGTTTGTAGTTTTAGCTTTTGCATTTAAGCCTATGATCCATTTAGAGTTAAATTTTTGTGTATGGCAAAACAATTTCTAAAGGGTGGGAGAAGTGGAAAGAGCCCTGAAGAACACAGAGATACAGAAGAAAATTATGTTTCCGAAGCTATGAAAGGAGCAGGTATGGTCAGTGGTGTCAAATGCTTTAGAGATAAAATTTGACTATGGCTGAAAAGTAGTTCCTGGATATGGCAATTTACTGAATGTCCACGCTATGCCAAGCACATCACTTCTGCTCTCAAAGTTAATTTGGTCTTTTGGAGCCGTGGTAGATTATGCTTTGAATTTAGAAACATATGGTTAAGAGAAAAGTTGGAAGGTAGGCAGAGCCCAAGTGATGAAGTTCTTGAACCTAGGTGAGGTTCGGTGGGGTGAGGTCTGGAGCTGATGACCAAGAAAGAATTCTTGAGACATCTTTGGTGCAAAATGGTGGTTTATTAAAGCACGGGGACAGGACGCGTGGGCAGAAAGAGCTGCTGCCTCGGGGATGTGAGGAGTGGCTAATCATATACACAGGAGTTGGGTAGGTGAGGACAAAGTGGGTGTTTAGAAGGGCTATCAGGGTAAAGAAGACTGTCAGAATATTGAAGGCCTGGTCACTATCAAGCCAAGGCTGTTTTTCCCTTTAATGAGGCACTAGCATGAAGACAATTGGGAGTTTCTGGGTGGAATGACACATTCTTGCTATCAAGCGTCCTTGTTAGTGAGATTTGGGTTTAGAAGAAATTTAACTTTATTTACATTTCCTTCTACCTCAGCCTCCTTCAGTTTTGTTTATGGAGGGGAGGGCGACATTAGGGCTTGAGGAACTGAGTTGTTCGCGGGCTATTGATAAGGTAACTTCTTTATTGTAAATCTCAAGGACATCTGTAAACCAAGGGAGACTCCTGTCTTGCAGGACTGTGATCTCTGCAAATTAACTATTTGTTTTTCTTTTAGGGCAGTCAGGGGTGCCTGAGGAATGTCACACATATTACCGAGGGGAGCGGGTGGAGAGGGGGTGCAAGGTGCCAGCTTTTGCTTTGTCCTCAGCCAGCCTCCTGCTCCCTCATCAAAAGGAGATGTGTTTACAAGATGTGAGTAGAGTTAGAGTGTAATCCCGAGGAGGCAGTAAAGCATAGGACCCAGACCCAGTGGAAAGATCAACTTTGACCAGAGGGGACCCAAGGCTCAACCGGACTGGGTTCTACAAAGAAAAGTGGGGAAAGCTTCGGGGGTAGACAGGCATTCTCGCTTATCTGAGAACTGCAGGAGGAGTGTACTTAATCTTTACAAATACCATCTGAATCCTGTGTAAGGCAGGTGTTACAATTTTTTTTTTTTTAAGATTTTATTTATTTATTTTACAGACAGAGATCACAAGTAGGCAGAGAGGCAGGCAGAGAGAGAGGAGGAAGCAGGCTCCCTGCTGAGCAGAGAGCCCGATGTGGGGCTCTATCCCAGGACTCTGAGATCATGACCTAAGCTGAAGGCAGAGGCTTTAACCCACTGAGCCACCCAGGTGCCCCGGTGTTACAATTTTCCACGCTAGAAGCTTGTTCAGGGAAAGTCATTTGGTGTCACGTGGTAGGCGAGGCTGGTCCTCAGCAGCGCAGCCGGGAAGCCCCCTGAACCCTACACCTTAGGGTCCAAGTCCCGGGCGACTTTCGGGACTACACGCCCCAGGATGCATTGGGGCCATTGCAGGAAGTGGCTTCCCGGAATCGGCTCTACATTGGAGGCGGCGGCGGTTGTGACGCGCCGGCAGGAAGGCCCGCCTCTGCCCTAGGCCTCCCGGAGTTGAAACCCTCCCCGTGCTGCATAATGCGACCGCATCAGGCCACATCTTGGTACCGGCGGATGTCCGTGCTATATGGGTTGGGCGCTTGGACCACTCTGGGCTCCTTGTTTTATTTAAGCCGGAAAAATCACAAGCCACCAGGTACGACCCTCTGGCAGCCTTCGGTGGGGCGTCCTGATAGGGTCACAGAAGCGGCTTCGCTCTGCCGCAGGCACCGGGTTTATTCTGCAAAACCATTGTCGCGAGCAATTAGCTGTAGGGGAATCTGCCCGGAACTACCGTTTCAGTCCTCCTGTCTGCTTCTTGTTTATTTGACGAATCTGGGTAAGATTCCCAGGGAATGTCAAAAACACTGGACGGTGATTTATTTAAAGAGGTGATGCCTCGGTGAGCCCGGTCGCAGTTGGCGAGCAGTTTCAGCACTTCCACCCGCCGAGGAGTATTAAAATCTTCCCGGTTACCGGGCGGAAGAGAAAACCCCCGAGCCTTCAGAGATGTGCTGGAGATTTGAAGATGCCTGCAGCGGATTCTAGTTGCCCGGGGCTGAAGGGGCGGAGTTGATGGGGCGGGACTTGCTAAAGGAGGGAAATAGCCTAAAACTGCCGTTGCACAGATCTGAATGTGCTAAAAGCCATTCGGAAAAGGAAACAGGAAAGCTGTTCTGTAAAAGCCGTGAAGATGACATTTGGCGTTGAAGATTTTCAGCGGCCTGAAAGTACACGTGTCCAGTATTGAGCATTTAAACACGTTTCAGTGTCTATAGTGGTCATGTCATATTTATTTTTCTTTTTTCACAGGGAGAAAATAGTGTCACCCCTACCCGTCGGGGTGATTCCTACCTTAGTTTATTTTGTTTCCTTCCAAGACCTAACTAATAATTTAAGGACTGCTGTCTTAAAAGGTAACAATTCAGGTGTTCCTTTCTTTTTTTTTTTTTTTTTTCCAAAGGTGATGAAGTGGAGCAAAAGGATGTCCCAAGAAATGAATTGCTTGAGCCCCCGAAAGGGTTTTACTTGGAAACAATTGTCACATACAAGGAAGATTTTATTCCAGTCACTGACAGGATCGTCAACTTTTTGAAATCGTGGACTGGTGGCCCTGGACGAGAATCGTGATTAACTGCAGAATGCTGAAAACCGGGACTTTGGTTCATTTCATGGATGCCTTGATTTCCAATTTATGTTTACGAAAAGTGTATCCATTTAATTTAATTTTGCTGTAAAATATAAACACTCGTGGTATGCAATAAATCCGTCCTTGAGGAAAAGTCAATTTGCATATTTCAGAGGTGTCCCTCATTTCTTATATGAGTGAAAAGATTGAAGTGAAATTTCACATTAAGCTTCCCTAAGCTGTTTTCTGAGACTGTTTCATGTAACTTTCTATTTCTCTCATGTTGCCGGCAAATAGGGCTTTAGCAGTGCTTTGAAGGTTACAATCACCCGATGTCCCACCTTCAGCCTGGGATTTATAGCAGCTCTTTAGGTACTATTGGGTACTTGGGAAGTATGTTATAAACTGTATTTTGTAACTCCTGAATTAAAGAGACTTGACCTTTTTACTAGGACCAGTACCAGACCCCTCATTCCTTCAGCAGATGTGGATTGAACCCCAACTGTGGCTACCGGTATTCTAGACATGGGGGATACAAAGTCAGGACAATGTGGGTTGTGCCCTAGAGTGCTGCACTGGTCTCTACTGTCTATTACCATTGCAAGTAAGAACCCCACACAAGTGGGCTTAAATCAGAAAGGAGGTGTTTATAAAAAATGTGTATGGACAGCTTAGAACTAAAGCCGAGTATGTTGAGGTCTCAGGAGAGCCTGGTACCCCCCTCGGGAAGGCAGCCAGCCTCTCACTGAGCCTGCTTGGGCTCTTGTCGGCCTTGTTACTTCTCTCGCTGCACACCAGCTTCTCTTCTCCCAAACCCCCGTTCTGCAGTACTAGAGCTAGTCTGAGCAGCCTCTTCCCAAGCTGGTGTTTGGCTTCCACTCTTGTGAGACTCAGTCACTTTTTATTAGTGCCCTGCCCTGTGGATTACTGAGTATGCCTGAAAGGCATTCGTGAGGCATCAGGGTGGCTCAGTTGGTTAAGCAGGATAATTTAGGCAACCGAGAAAGAAAAGTTAAGAGTAGGATTTCTGGTTAATGTTCTATAGGGGGTAAATACCTACACTTTGGGGTTTTGTTTACTTGTTTACCAGACAGGAATCACTTTTATCCTTATTGGCCAAAAATCCACAAGTTGATGTGTAATGGCACGAAACCTAGGCTTTTTTTTTTTTTTTTAAGATTTTATTTATCTATTTGAGAAGTAGAGAAAGCATGAGATGGGGGGAGGGTCAGAAGGAGAAGCAGACTCCCCAGCAAGCAGTAAGTCCAGTATGGGACTCGATCCTGAGAGTCTGGGATCATGGCCATGAGCCCAAGGCAGGTGCTTAACTAACTGAGCCACCCAGGCTCCCGAAACCTAGGTTTTTAATCACAGGTAGATGATAGGTCAAACCGAGGCACATTCCCCCAGATAACTAAGGAATCTTTGAGTGGGCCTATAAAAGAACTCTTGGGCCCAATTCCAATTTGCATGCGTCTGTGCGTGTGTGTGTGGTGGGGGTCCAGGCACGACAGCAATTCTTGGGAACCAGTTGGGGGTGTTCTATAATTCAACTCCATTGTGACACTATCTACTCAGAAATAGCATTAGATTCCATAGGTCAGGGGCTCAGTC